AACAGGCCCGTAGAAGGTAATAAATTTCGGGGGGGGGATCGATCTCACCAACTGGGGTAGGAGCCTTTGTAGATTTTGAGCAAATTCTGAGTGGGGGGGGGGGGAGTTAAACCTGAATTTTACTATGTGGCTACATGCCTGCTATGTATAACTACTTTTCCTGAGTGTGCCTGATTATTTAGAGTAGACAAGCATTCCCCCCCCCCTCCCCGTGGCACGTCACTCAGTGCGGATCCAGCTCTCCCATCTCCGGAAAAGCCCGGGGCAGCCCTCCTCGCCCCCCGCCAGACCCACAGGCCTCGCTTCTGCCTTCTCCTATATTTGGGTAGCCGCTGCTCAGCCGGTCTTCTCTGCATCTTTAACGATTTGTCAAGAATCTTGGGCACAGGTCTATAAATAAGCTCCGCCGTGTCTCTCAGCCGGCCTGGAGAGAGGCCGTCTGGAAAGGCAGCATCTGCTGATGTCAAATAGCTGTGTTACTGTTTATTAGCCGGCTGGGGCGACTCTCTGTGGCTCCGCCTCTCGGTTTTGAAACGCGTCCAGTGTGGTGAGGCAGCTTCTTTTTAAAATTTATATATTTATTTTTTTCATGGTATAAGCACGCAGTGCCCTTCCACACAGTGCCCTTCCATGCAGCTCCCTTCCACGCAGTGCCATTCCACACAGTGCCCTTCCATGCAGCTCCCTTCCACGCAGTGCCATTCCACACAGTGCCATCCCAGTGAGACGGCGTCGTCGTCGTAGGACCCCTCAGATGCACAAGCTGCGTATAAATGACAGTGCAGAATAATTGTATGATCCAGCTGATTTTGTATGAACACACTCATAGACAAAGAAATAAGAAATATATATTATATATGCATTACAGCCAGAGCTAGCTGTTCCATAGAGGTAGAGGAGGTGGTACCTCATCTGTTTTTGAGATTAAATTATGAAACAGGTAAATAACTCATTGTTATTATTTTATTGTTAGTTAAAAGCACATTTTCTCTCTTCTTTGGAAAAATTCACTGTTGTAATAATATACAATGTACTATCTTCTTTCCTCCTCATTTTTGTAATCACCAGCTGCCACTGATTCAGCCCTCAGCTGGGTAATTATAATGTTGATACTTCATTTGCCATTGTGCAAAGCACTTTGGGATTCTTTAGTTTTCACAGATCCCATATTTCTCTTGTGTAGGGCAGTAAAACAATACAGTACATGGAGGTGAGAGCAAAGCTTGGGGTTGGACCATTTTCCCCCAAGCAGTTTTTGAGGTTAAGGACCCTGCTCAAGGGCCCAACAGTGAAATGATTAGTCCACGAGTGCAGGATTCAAACCAACAACCTACAGGGTCACAGGGACGGTTAACCCACGGAGCTACACACCACCCTGAAAGAAAAGCGATAGATGTGTATGTGTATGACTAATCGTGCATTCCATTTGCCCTCGGAACTCGGATTCCGAGTCGGATTCCAAGTTTCGAAGCCGGAAGTGATGACATGCGCGCTCCCGTTTCTCGGAGAGCCGAGAAATATCTCGGATAATGCAGAGGATCCCGAGTTCAGAATCGAAGATGGCTGCGCCCTTTATCAACAGAAGGGAAAGTTGTAGTTTTATCCTGTTTAAGCACTGCTTCTCATTTGTGGCTCATTAAATCGGTCGCACACACTATACCGTTCAACTTATCTGTGGACGTGTTGCTACAGAGTTTTATACATTAAGCACCGCGCGTAATGTGTTATCAACTGATATTGCTAACAATGGCTACCAATTAACCGGTCTAGAATTGGATTTCATGATTAGTCGGATTATTTGTCGGATTTAAAGTAGTTCGGGCTAATTGTAAGTGAACGAAGATAAAGACCATTTAAACTGAGGTACCTTAAATCCGACAAGTTGTCCGGCTAAGCAAAAAATCTTACTTTTTCCATATGAGTCCATGGTATTGCTACTTCTGTGGCAAATGGAACGTATCCGACTCGGTTTTCCCGAGTTTTTAGCGGATGTGACGTAATATCCGGGTCCGAAAATTGGATCCCGAGGCAAATGGAATGCATCATATGTCTTCTCAACCTTTTGTGACATTTTTTGTGGGTAATCTCCTTACAAGAACAGCAAATACTAAAGAGCTTGGCACTGTGTGTAAATCTCAATAAATGGGTAATAGGGTCTTTTAGAAATTCATGCAGTATTTTTGGGTCAGATAACAAGAGGCTGAACTGGCTGCCAATGTGAAGTGTTCATAATTCTAGGTAAACAAAGCCATGGGCTGTGGGTGTTGGGTTGTGTGTGTAATGTAAGTATTCGTTCCCCTGTCCTGCATGGTGAACAGAGAACTATCAGGACCCAGAGGAGGACTGGCTCACTAACAGCACTGGAGCCTTGGAGATGGAGAGCTCCTACCGTCTGGTGGAGCCCAGGGTGATTCCCCCACACTCCAAAGCAGATGCCATCCGCAGGGACCAGTCCAAGAAGTCACAGAGCTACAAGGTGGAGTCTGTGTCCGGCGGGCTCAGCGTGGATGTGCAGAACTTCTCCCTGGAGTCCAAGCGGGAGTCGGAGTATGTAAGTCCAGTCCACCTACCCCCCACAAAACCCATTTGATTTCAGGAGGTGACAAAATTTTGATTGGGGTTGTGGGAAATCTAACTAATAGTTGGAAATCTACACCACAAGTATATGAGGGTGTCCTGCTGCGTGCCCCCCCAGAGAGGTATAGGTCCTACTGAAGGGTTCTTGTGTCCTCCTGGCCCATTGTCAGGTCACCGGATGGTTGGCGTGGCACTTGACCAAAAAAAATCCCACAATGCATTGCAGGATAAACTTCCCCCCTGAAAGTGTACTGGCTGGTTTTATGTTTCCTAGAGTGAGCTGGAAAGGGTGGCGGTGTTTAGCCCCACCCCAGTTTAATGTGCTGGCTGACACTGGGCAGCTCCCAGAATAGTTAGCCCATGACACACAGCACAGATCCAAGCCGCAGTTCTGCTAGCTCCTGGCTTATGGGCCAGTACCTTTGTCATCGACAATGGATGCTAAAAGAAGGACACACCCCCTCACTGTTTGACGCGACAAACCATAAGGGACGTCCTTATCAGCCAACGAACACGACGGCATGTAAATGGGAGCGATGCTGCTTCAGCTGGAGATTTTAACATGCTACACTCCTCAGTGGGCGTCCTACACAGGGGGGCGGGACATTCCACTGGTTGATGTCCAGGGGCAGGATGGAACACTGGAATTGCTGCCCTACCACCAAGCCACCCCCATCTGGCTCTCTGTGTATGGCCACAGTCTCTGGCCCCCTGTCTTGGTCATGCCCTATAATCCCCCCCCCCCCCCCCCCCCGCTTCTGCACAGCCACATGCGAGCCAAAATATACCTACATTTTACTCTATATGTGGCAGGAGCAGGGAAATAAGTACAATGCGAGTACCGAATACTCAAATAAAGAAATAAATAGACAATTAGCATACAAACAACACGTTGCTTCTCTATTAATAGTATTTACAATATAGCAAAGAGACTCCCTATTATTCCCATGTATAAATACTCTTATGCTGAACAATATGAATAAAATTAATGAATATTAACATACATTATTAGTCCACCAGGAGTTACACAGGCCTAGTTACAAACACGAAACACGTGGACGGACTTCTGTGCCTTCGATCCCAGCATGACCGATATAGGCTATCCTATTTCTATTTTATTTATCTAGCCTGTTCGGTAGTAATTTTTGGAAGGAGTTGTTTTGAATTTAGGCATGATTTGTACAAGCGTTAACATACCCCCGCACTGAAGATTTTCACGTAATAATATTTTATCATCGACATAGAATCTTTTATTTTTTTATTTTACACACACACACACAACGTGCATGCGTGTGTATACATATTTGTGTGTGTGTGTGTACGTAATTTCAAAACCCGTTTTTCTACATTTACGGTTTCCCCAAGATAATATTTTACACTTAGGTTATCTGATACACTTACGAACACAGGGCAAACTGAATCCTTTACATATGTGCATGTTTATAAACACCCCATACACGCGTCTTTGTGAATACGACTAAGTTGCCAGATTTAATTATTCATATGCATCTACATAATTATCTGCCAGATCACTGAATACTGTCCGCTTGCGGCTGACATTGAATAAACTGGTGATATGTAATTCAATAAATCCAGCGCGCGCCGTTTATGCTTCACAAACGAGCAGAAGATTGAAGGGGTTCCTAAATCTTGTGCCCTACGATTACATTATTCATACAGAGGGGTGTGACTTACAACCTCTTTTTTTCTGCCTGTATATAACGAGAAGTTGAAGCAAAGGAAAATACAGATGGAGAAGACCACTCTTCACACTGTGCAAGAGAAAGTTCACCTAAGCCTACGTGACAAGTTGCATACTCTCCCTTTGTGTCTCTCCTGTCACCATGATGTCCAGGCTGTGCCTTCTTTGTCTGGCGACCGCCTTCGCGATACTGACCCGGCTGGCGGAGGCAGTCGGACCCGTGGTCCGATGCGAGCCCTGTGACGCCGGGGCGCTGGGGCAATGCAAACCCTTGCCCAAGGACTGCGCCGAGGCGGTCCGGGAGCCGGGCTGCGGCTGCTGCATGACTTGTGCGCTTACTGAGGGACAACCTTGTGGAGTGTATACAGGGAGGTGCGGATCCGGCTTGACCTGCCAGTACCAGCCGGGTGAAAGCAGACCTCTGCAAGCCCTGCTGGAAGGACGGGGCGTTTGCTCCAGATCGGCTTCCAAAAAGCTCAACAGCATCCTGATTCCGGTCCACAAACAAGGTAGGCAGTGGGGACCAATAAGTATCACGGTTCTGGTGGATTTGTCGGACCCTCTGCTGGGTGCAGCTTCTCTGCCCGCGTCCGCCCGGGCCAAACATGCGACAAACAGAGTCGCAGCCGGACCTCCAGAGACACCTAGATAAGCACGACGCTTTTGATTAAGGGCGTTTTCCTTGCACTTAATGTATGGCATCGATTTGACTTTTTAAAAATCCCCACTAGAGAATATGCTCCCTCGGCAGGCACATTTTAAAGCCTGTTTGCAGAATATCGCGACAGTGAGTGTTGCATACTTTTTAAACCGGCTTCCAGTCACTCCTACAAATCGGTACAAGCTGCAAACAGAAATTACCGTACAAGCCAACTTCATATAAACCCACTCTGTCTTTTATAAGGAATTTCTATAGTGAACCGTTTTTATCCTAAATCCGACAGTTTTAGCAAAATAAGCAAAAAATATATTAAAATGTATTAAACGTGTTTTCATGAACTGACGAACAAAACGTGGACTCCAATGAATGACAATCACAATGAAGTCTGTTGGCATCAGCCGTTCACAACTAAAAGTTAACGGTAACGTAGCTAAAATTGCAATGGTACCCAATAATTCATAACATCCTTTGAGTATTTTGGGTGTACAGTATGCAATGCATGTCGGTGTATATATGTGCCTACGTCCGCGCGTGTCCCTTGGTGCGGAACAGTCCCACGCTTGCATCTTCAGACAATGTACTTTTTACATGGCTAAACGTAGGTGCTATATCTATGAAGAAGTCGCAGCTGCAAATACTGATACATGCAAAAAAAAAAAAAACTGCCATCTGCGGACGCAGTTTAGCTTGTGATTTGCACCCTGCCGCGTACTTTTATGAAAGCCGGAACACACGCGTGTTTCTGATGCGCGCCGATCGGGGGTTGCGTACCTGGCGGTCCCGTAGCGGAGCCAAGCTCCTATTTCCTCGCGCTGCGTTTTCATATGTCCATGACATCACCCTGAATTTTTAGTGTATTTCACCCCCCGTACTTTGTAGTGGCTTCTATGGTGGGAAGCAATCAAGTGTAGCCTTCACACAATGGGAGCTTTTAAACACACGTACTAGGTTGCGTTAAGTGGTTTTACCCTACTTTCCCCCCTTGTGCTGAAAACTCATAAAATCCTTTGGGGGTGCATATTGTAATTGTAGTCCGTAATAGGTCGTTTCTTCCTATTTTGTCACACCCATTGTAATTGCTTAATTAGAATGGCTTAAGCGGGCCTTAAATAATACTGTAGAAGTATGTATGTGGTATGCATTAGTAAAAAAGCTCCGGTGGGAAATGTAATTATTTACCAGTCTGGCAGCCTAACTAATAATAAGGAACTCATCGACGACTCCAGCAGCGTGGCCGTTGCGATGCTTTGAGAGCTACGGCGTGTCTCCCCCTGCTGATGAAATGCGGGAATTACACTTTGGTGGGTGTGCAACTCTAGAGCCGCGTGCTCGCTCGCCTCTTTTTAATGAGCCTGCGTGTTGTATTTCAGATTGTTTACTTGGCATGGATTATACAAACACGTGAAGTAAGACGTTAAAAACCTTTTAAATAGTGCATCAGACCAATAAAAGTTTACATTCTGAATAAATATTGGTGTTGCGAAGGTATCCAAATATGATTTTTTGGACGATTACTGTTTGCATTTATTTTTAAAGGAAATACCGCTGGCACTGGTTGTTTCTATCATTCGCCATTTGGAGTTTTCGATTGGACCATATAGCACTGGTTTGTTGCCTGGTTACTAATTGATCCAGTTAGAAGGAAGCATTAGAGAAGAGCCCACATGTTTGACAGGCCTGCCAGTCCAAACCAGTGGAGCTGGTCTGCCGAAATCTGGTTCTACTTAATCTGGAAAGTTCCTCCTGTTTCTTGTTCTCTGAGGCGAGCACCAGACGTCAGGCAGACACAATGAGCTCTTCGTCAGGGCTGCAGGATCAAACCTGGATCTGATCCCCCACACTCATCATGCACACACACACACACACACACACAGGTTCTATCATTAGGGTCTGTAGTCCACAGTGGAATGTGGTTGGGTACAGTTCAGTCACATGACTGGTGATGTCATAAAAGCAGCGATGAAGGGGTTCAGACAAATATCGATGGCTGTTAGAAGCCTAAATATGCCGAAATCTGGCTACATTTCACCCACCATCATCTTGTGCTTTACTCATCTCCGGAATCCTATGTAACAGGCCCGTAGAAGGTAATAAATTTCGGGGGGGGGATCGATCTCACCAACTGGGGTAGGAGCCTTTGTAGATTTTGAGCAAATTCTGAGTGGGAGGGGGGTATTCCAACCAGTAATTTTATTACCTGCCTACATGCCTGGACTGGAGCAAACAAATTTGGGGGGGTGCCTGATTATTTAGAGTAGACAAGCATTCCCCCCCCCCT